GGAGGCCAATGGCAATATAAACTTACGAGTGCTGCCCGAAAGCCCAACGGCGCTCTTCACTGTCTCGGCAACAGTCATATTGAAAGGAGAAAAGGGTGTTATGAAGGTGGGTTTCGAGGACAAGCGACCGGACCGTGAGGTTTGCAGCTATTCCGTAGTCGTCGTCGTTCCTTCCTTGCCGGCAGCGTCATGTGACGACACGTGACAGTATGTCCGTAAAAGGATTAGCTCGGCTAAATCCACTTTACGCGGTCCGACGTACTCAGGGCGCGTCTTGCCTAGCCAGACCTTCGCGTTTCGAGATCAATACTGCAGAACCTATCATTAACAAGCCATCCTCGGTCTTTTTTCAATCATGCTCATGTGAATCAACCCGGCCAATCAACGAGCGTCGGATCTTGATGCATTTCCATAATTGAACAAACACCTGAGATCCTTGTTGTTGTCCGGCTGCCGAGCAGCGGTGTCAGTCGCTGTTGCTGAACGGGACCTCACTGAATCAGGACAGCGTGAGGGGACGCACATCATGGCGGGAGTTGACTTTTCGAAAGTGTACTCTGCTACCTATAGCAGTGTAAGTAGGAATTTCCAGAATCCGCCCTGCCTTCTTCAATTGGATCACTTACGGACCAATTTCGACCAAACGAAGGGGTAGAACCCCCAGCTGATGCATGTCACTAGGTACCGGTCTACGAGCTGAAACTCGATGGAGAAAGCGTGATGCGAAGACGGTCGGACGACTGGATCAATGCAACCCATATTCTCAAAGTCGCCGGATTCGACAAGCCAGCGAGAACGAGGATTCTCGAGCGGGAGGTACAAAAGGGTGTCCATGAGAAAGTGCAAGGTGGATATGGCAAATATCAAGGTAAGTCCGTCTTGTCCAAGGTCTCTACTGATAACCCCTGTTTCTTGAAAGGCGTATCGGTTCTGACTTTAGTAGGTACATGGATACCTCTCCCTGAAGGTCGACTCCTCGCTGAGCGCAACAATATAATCGACAAATTGAGACCGATATTTGACTATGTTGCCGGAGACCGTAGCCCTCCACCAGCACCAAAACACACAACCGCATCGAAACCAAGGGCACCGAAGAACACAGCTAACCGGAGAACTGTGAACGAGGAGGTCTTCAGTGCTATCAAACCAGCCCGAAATATGGCGCCACCCCCCTTTACCCACGAACAGTACGAGATGAGCACTGGCTTTGACGACAACGAGTCCATCGAACAAGCGACGCTTGAGTCGTCGTCAATGATAGCGGATGAAGAGATGATGACAATGTCACAGAACGGTAACTTCTCGCGCAAACGCAAGCGTGGAATCAACGAGGCGCCTGTGATGTCCATCAGCGAACAGGAACACATACTCTATGGGGACCAGCTCTTGGACTACTTCATGACAGTAGGCGATGCGCCCGAGGCTACACGTGTACCACCTCCACAGCCACCATCCAACTTCCAGGTAGATCGCCCAATTGACGACTCCGGTAACACGGCCCTTCACTGGGCCTGTGCTATGGGAGATCTGGAGATTGTGAAAGATCTCTTACGAAGAGGAGCAGATATGAAGGCATTATCGGTACACGAAGAGACCCCGCTTGTGCGAGCTGTTTTGTTTACGAATAACTACGAGAAGAGAACTTTCCCTCCGCTTCTCGATTTACTTTGGGATACAGTCTCATTCAGAGACTGGTTTGGTGCTACCATATTTCATCATATAGCAGAGACTACGCGGAGCAAAGGGAAATGGAAGAGCTCACGATACTATTGTGATGTGCTGCTAGACAAGCTGCGCCTCATGTGCTCGGTGGAAGAAGTCGATCTTTTGTTGTCCTTCCAGGACTCTAATGGAGACACAGCGGCCTTAGTGGCTGCTCGGAATGGCGCTTTCCGCTTGGTGGACTTGCTTCTTGCACGGTGTCCACGGGCTGGCGACTTAGTGAACAAGAAGGGCGAGACGGCTGCAAGCATTACTCGACGAGCGCATCCGTCCGAACGCGACATTCCTCCTCCGCCATCATCTATCACGATGGGCAATGACCAGTTGAACGGCGAAGCGCCAGGGTTGATGAATGTTGACACCCAGCCCGCCACTCTTGCCCAAGAGTCATCGTCTCCTGCCACCACCGCGTTGCTATCCAAGATTGGTGTGATAATGGCTGAAGCAAATAAGAAACTTACCGTAAGCTACGGAAGCTCAAAAGCGAACGGGCAGGACTCTGACGACGTTGCGAACCCGGAAACACTGTACGAGCAACTAGAGGTGGATCGACAGAAGGTGCAGAAAGAAACAGCTGTCTTACAAGCGCAGGAGGCTGGTGAGCAGCCAATTGATGCTCAGCTTGAACGCTATGAGCAGTTGCGAAGTGGCTATGAGTCACTGCTAGAGCAGATTCAGCAGAGTCGCCTAAGAGAGCGCATATCATCGGTAGTAGTGCCTGCAGCACAGGAGGGTACGACGCCACCCGCCACAGACCACGATAAACTGCTTCGCACCTACCAGCTGGCTCGACAATTGTGCTCAGCGCAGAAAGCTCGGCGCGCTGCTGTCAAAGACCTTGCTCAGCAGACGGCTGACGCGGGAGTAAGCACCAAGTTCGATGTCCATCGGAAGTTGGTGGCACTCGCCACTGGTCTCAAGGAGGAAGACCTCGACCCCATGGCTGCTGAGCTAGCCGAAACATTGGAATTTGACCGAACGAATGGGAAGGGCGACGCGGCGGAGTCGCCAGATCCTGAGCCCCGAGAATCCGCATCTTTTCCTTTCCCCGGGACGACCGTGTCTGTTGATGCATGAGTACGTCCTAGGTCGCCTCTCACATGTTGTGCCGCCCGCGTCCGGTGCGCTATCGGGCCTTCTTCCTTCCTGATCTGGTTTTCAGCTGTCTTGGATCAGATATGATGTCTCATCAAATTCTTTCAGGATAGCGGAGCGCCTTTGATGATCTAATTCCGACCCTCATTATCTTCTTTTTCTCTCTGAATTGTGCTCACTCATCATGAATGTTTAACCCTTGCATTTTCCTACCTCTGGCGGGCAATTTGAAATTCTGGTTTGCCAGCAGATACCCAATACTTTCTCTGTATTCTAATTTCTTTTCTTCATGTTTCCTTCCTCATTCATGACGTTGGCTTTCACTGTTCCCGAGCTGTGGGGGTGATCGTCGTGCCATTGCCGTCGGCGCTCGGCCGACTACGCGCAAGGCCAAACTTAAACAATACGAATCCGAAAGACCGGAAAGGGGCCGCAGTGTGGGCTAAGCCTCGATCACAGAGTCCACATCTTGGTTGCCTTGTATCTGAAATGGACAGGATAATTGGGTCTATGCATGTACATATGGAGTGATCCAGCCAAATCCCAGGCCCTCAGCTGATGACATGTGCTTTTTCATCGACGCGTCCAGCTGATTCCCCGAGAACCCCTGTGCCAGCGACTCTAGCAGCCCACTGTAGACTTTTGATGTCTGGTTGCTTCTCTTATTGCAAAGGCCAGAGAATCTCCTCCCTGCAGAAACACAAGCTCGACTTTTTCGCCACAGTAAACATGACTTCATTGCCCTAGCCAGCTCTTCTAGAAGGCACGGTGGGCACCATCGCTGCTGCAGGCATCCAACACACACGAATAAACCGAAGCAAATCATCCCACCGGCGCACTTACATTACAACCTAGCAGCCTAGCAGCCTAGCAGCTATAGTCGCCCCCCACCACTCTACCGCGCCAGCAAACCCATTGCAGGATCTAAGACTCAGTCCACTGCAGCCCATCCACACACGATCTAAAACTCCGAACGCGAGGCAGCGATGACCCTCCCCCCGGTCTAGATGGGGTTTCCAAAGACTAGAGGAAATGATAAAGATAGAATCCTTCCACTCATACTCCCGGATCCGACCCTTCCGGGGAGCCAGCTCGGAAAAGGATACTACTGGCACTACGGAGCGCGCTCCGTAAGCAATACTAAATCGGCCATGCAGGATGCGAGAACGGCGGCGGAGGGGGGAAAGAAAATTGTTGCATGCGACATATGCAGAGATGGTTCAGTCTCCTTGCATTGGTGTCGGGCGACGCCCGAGAAGTTAATGGGAGATTCGGTTAAGTTGTGCGAGTTGGGAATAGTTGGGGGGGGGGGGTTGGTAAATCATGATCCAGAAGGTTCGGGGGCATGATGCGCTCAGATAACCTCTTTTTGTCTTGAAATTGAGTGAATGCATATTCTGTGTGGAGTGTAGATACCTAGTACAGTACCCCCTAGTCTGATCATGGGTGTTTTGTGGATATGCTATAATGATGTTTTGCTATGGCTAACTTGGGGTTTTTGACGTATGTCGGGAGGGCGGTGGATTCGGATTTCCAGGATCCCCTGGGGCTCTGAGTGGGGTTAGTGAGATAATATGGAAACTAGCCTTCGATAATAGGTAGTTATGGGAAGGGGGAGTGTGCTGTGGTGGTGTTTCTTGTGCGCGAGAGGGATGGACTCCCTAGTCTACTCGAGCAACGCACGAGCACTTGATGTGATAAAGTGCAGTAGGCGCACGCTTTGTGGTTGAGTTTGCACCGGTTGGTGTCCAAGCATATTACTATGTATTGTCAGTGAGGGCTGTACCGTTGCTGGACAATCAACACACAACAAAACTATATGTAGGCTTAAACTTTCGAGAACCTGGTGGCGCAACGGTTTAAGAATAGGCCAGGGGCTCCGGGTTGTAAGGGAACCTCTAGGAAGAGAGCGAGAAAGAGAAGGAAGGGGAAAGGATCTGCTATGGGTTACGTCGGGATGCTCCCCTAGAGAGCGGGATGTCGATTTGAGTTTACTAGCAAACTGCATCTTCTGATATGCCCCGTTTACTTCCGTTAAGGGGAGGGGGAAGAGAGAGAGGGGCGGGACCTGGGCCGGCGGCCGATGTAGTGATCTTCTGGCTCTGTAACAAGCATTGGACGAGTCACTTTTATGTCAGACCGGCCCGGGATTAAACTTCTAGTGCGTGCTGGCCCATCTGGAACACAATGTGATGCTACCTGAGAAGGTGGGTTTGTATAGACGGTGGATTGGGGTCAGCCCTGAGGTTGGTTGCCTCCTTGGTGACATGAGAATCTAGTTAGTCGGACAGGGTCCAACCTCTGACACAATATGGGCCGTTTGCTACAAAGGGGCTCTATGATCACTGCCTCTTCTAACTATCCATTGCATCGAGAACTCGACCTAGCCCATGGAACAGGGCGTGTGAGAACCGTCGGTAGGGAAACGAAAACGGTGGAGATTGCTGTCTTCGAATCGCCTTCTCGCACATCATGCAAAGATTCTGGGGCCACTGACATCGACCACAAACCTGTCATCGGGCGTCACCAATGATTGGTAGGTCAAAGCAGCTGACTTCATCGGATCGAACAATCTGGGAAAATGGGACTATGCAGGACGACGAAGTTTTTCTTTCGCTGACCTCTGACGGTAGTGCACGGGGTACGGCGGGACCACCCGTCCCACACCTGAATGGAGTCGTGATTTTCCGCAAGGGGGGCGTAAACCTCTTTAACCCAAGCCCGGTCAGAAGCGATCGAGGTCAACGGAATGTACAGCCGTCGGAGAGGTTGAGACAATTCCAGAACCCAGGAAGCCTCTGCTGAGGAGCAAAATCAATTGTACGGGGACTCGTTGGGCAAGTCTGAGCGATTGCGGGACGATCTATTGCCTGGACGAAATGACGATGCTCTAGGCTATATGACGCCTGGAATATAAACAGGGAGCGGACAGGGACAAGCCTGTTAACAAGCGACTGAGATCAAGTTGCACGAGGGGGACAACTGGATCGAATGGAGCGGCCAAGGAAGAGAGTTTCCAGTCAAGTGCTTGGCAATCGAGAAAGGAGGAAACTAGTTGCCATTTCGCGCGAATCCGTTGGGTCTTGGATAGTTGAACTCCTGGATGACTGACTGATTTCTCCAAGAATTCTCTTGGGGGCGCAGGTCTAGTTTTGACTAGCTTCATTGTTATCAGAAGCACGGAGATTTCTGGCAGGACAGGCTTGTCCAGTCGCCCGCAACCTCAATCTTCTGCCGCTGAACCCAAGGCACGAGTGGATCGGAGTGGAGATCTAGGAAAGACAGGAAAGCCAGTCGTTGCGGGCTACCGATTCTAGGTAGGTTTGCAAGACCTCCCCCAAAGTGTGGTAGGAGGAGCTGCTGGAGGCTAACTAGCAGCGACTGGACCGTTCTCAGTGCGTGATTTTCGAGCAGGAGATCCTAAAAAGAAAGAAAGCTTTAGTCTTTTTTGGGGCCAGAGTTGCGTTCCGAAGAAAGGGTGACCATGTCCGATCATCAGGCATCCGATCCACCATTAGGGTTGATCTGCAGCCTCCTCCGTCTTGTCCAGCGTTGCGTCGTCGACTGTGATTAGGGTAATTTAGTGTGCAGCTGGCAGATTTGCGTTGAATCACTCTTCGCATTTACTTCCCTAGAACAAAAAGAAGAAGTAGTTCATAATAGCAATTAGGACACAAGAGAGGTACGTACTCTCATTTACAAAGGATATGTTCGGTGGAAAGGAGAAGAAGGATTACTACACCGGACCATGTCTCTGTCTCTAGATTGGAGGATCTGCGGATTGATTGGGGAGGAGAGGTGGGAGAAAGTGGGTATGGGTTCCATTGCTCCCAATCGCTCATCCAGATCTCTTGAGCACTTTAGCTACGTATTAAGTATGCTAAGTTGTTAATCAAGACAACACAAAGAAAAAAAATCCGAATAGACTAAAGGTAGCTAAAGGTACGGAGTAGAAAAAGACCAGAGTCTCAGACAGACAGACAGACATAAGCCAAGTCGGTAGTTGGTAGTTGGTCTCACCTGCATTTAATCAATTTCAATTGCATTAACATTTGCCCGACCAGAGTTCCATCTCTCTCTTTCATCCTCTTCAATTCCCTTCCCCCCCCCCTCCTCACCCCTCTTTGAATTCCCCTCCCTCTGGCACTCTTAGTTCTCTCCCCACTCGGTCCCTCCCCGGCCTTTGACTTGATCTTTCGCCGCCTTTAGATTATTTGCCCCCCCGGACACTCGCCCACTCCAACTCCCTCAACCGACCCGATGGTTCGACTGGCTTCTTAATAATAATAGGATCCGATCTCGACCTTCCCCTTCTTCCCAACGCTTGTCGATCACTCAATTTCTATTCCTATTCCTATTCTTAATTCTTATTATCCTTTCTTCCATCACAACCAAGCCCTCTCCACTTCATTTTTGCTCAATCGATATTCGGACTTGCATCCTCTTGATCACTCCAGTACTCGCTCTTTTACTACCTACACCTTATCTGTTCGCCCCTCTTCTCGATTTCCATCAACGACCGCTCCGATTCCGAAAACCCCGCCACCGAATGCAACACTGGTGAACGTCCCGCAGTCTGGCTTGGAATTTCGGTCGGACCTCTCCCCGTCCTTCCCTCTGTCTCATGGATATCTTCCCCCCACCATATTGTCGCCAATTCAACCCGAGTTCATAGATATGGAGGTTCAGACTTTGGTGTGTGCCCCGGGGAAGCCTCCTCTCCCCGCACAGCCCCAGCTTCCCGCAGCCGCTGCTGTGCCTGAGAAACGAAAGCGGGTCCGGAGATGGCATCACCGGGGGTTCACCGGATGTTCAACCTGCCGTCGTCGCCATGTGCGCTGCGACGAAGCGTCGCCGTCGTGCAAGAATTGTACTCGGTTGGGTCTCGAGTGCGATGGGACACAGGGCCGCATGACTTTCAAGGTCTACGGACCGCCACCGGCTACTTCCGAATCTACGACTGCGCCCACGAAAAAACGAGACAAGAAGTCGACTTCCCCGACACCACAAGAGGTGAAGCAGGAGTCGAAAGAGAATGAGGAGCCTTTCGAGGCACTGGTGGTGTCTCCGACAACTGTTTCAGACTTCAAACCCATAAAATACCGTTTCCAGGAGCCGATCTCCCCAGCCGAGTTTATATCTTCGTCTCTCGACTGTGTTGAGGGCCGCTATTACACACACTTTGTCGATCAAGTCGCTACCTTGTTGCTCATTTACGACAATTCGATCAACATCAATCCCTATCGGCGGTTTTTCCCGGACCTCGCCCGGTCATCACCGTCCATGGCTAGTGCCATGCAGGCTATGGGAGCGCTGCATCTCGCCAATACTTCCAAAGGACAGCAACGAAACAAGCATCTTCAACAGGCCATGAGCAACTACGGTGAAGTTGTTAAGTCCTTCAGGACTCGATACACCGAGCCAGACCAGAGTGTCCGTCTCACCGACCTTGCCACTTGCCTATTGCTGTCTTTGTTCGAGGTAAGTTCATCGCAGGCCTGCGTCACTGTCTTTCGTGCTGACTGGTTAGATGATGGATTCTCAAAATCACAACTGGGCCATCCATCTCAAGGGAGCCCGCGAGATTTACCGAATCTTGTTCTCCGCCAATGACGATCCTGCGAAAGAAGCCAAGCGGCTCGCTGAAATCAATCACCCGATCCGACCATTCCTTGTTTCTCTTCTTTCATACCTCGACGTCGCTGGAGCATGTGCCACCAGCGAAGGCACAGTTGTGGAAGGTAGTTATTGGAGAACACATGGAGGGGGCTGGGAGTACAATCTTGGTACCCCAAGTCTGTCTTCCGAGCCTCCCGCCTACAACCACCTATTGGTGGAGCTGCGCCAATGTTGGTCGGTGATGATGGAAATTCAAGCGGCAATCAGTGCTTTCGGAAAAGCTAAACACGATGGCCTCATGTCGCTTGAGCAAGAAGACCTTGTCTATCACGAACTGCTGCAGCGTCTTGTGCAATGGCGCTTGAGCGCTCCTGACGCTCTTCAAAGCCTAGGCGAGCTAGATGATACGAGCTTACAGCAATATCCTTATCCCGATGTTCTCGAATACGCGGGATGCATCGAGGCTTACGAAAAGGCCACTAATATATTCCTCCACCGTGTGGGAGCGGCAGGACGACCTGATCGTCCGTCCCAAAGGCCACTACTGGACATGCTTGCGTCGCGAATTTTAGCACTAATTGGAAAGCTCGCCAAAGACGTGGGACAACTGGCGGCACTATGGCCCCTGTTTACCGCGGGACATGAGACACGAAACGAACATGAACAAAAATATGTACGACAGACAATGACCGAACTCCAGCGGTATGGTTTCAAGGTATGTCCTCCAATAGTCTTGCGTTATATTGTTAGTGATATACTTACAATGGTCCAGAATGTCGATCGAGGCCTGGAAGAGTTGGAGAAAGCATGGTTCAAGCAGCGTGCCTTCCCCGAAGGATGGGTCGAATCAATGGATGACATCCGTTCATCCATTCTTCTTCCATAATCACGCCCTTCTCGTCACTCTTATAATTCTTCACTTACGATCTCGCATCGGGCACTATGATGCCCGAGCGTTCCTCCCACTTCTTACCCTACGAACCATGGTCGGGTGACATTATATTTTTTTGGTTTCTATGACATATTTAGCGGGGAACTCGATTGTATCGGACGGCGTTTATCGGGTTAAGAGGCGCTTGGTCGGATAGGGCTGGACCCTCTGGTTTGCTACAAATGTAATGTTACAGGTCCTTCGGACTGGATCAGCACGTGCAGTGGGATAGATTGTTTGGATTTGTCACCTTCACATATCGCGGTGTATAGACGGCACATACAGGATTCTGATGATACATAGAACATGGTGCAATAATGTATCCAACACCTCACTGCATTCTTGATAAGACAAATAAACCAACCATAGGTTTTGCTCTTGGTCAAGCCACGAAAACCCAACGAAATAGAGAATCCGACACCACTAACCTGAATAGAGAGCATCGTTTCTTCTTCAAGCCTTCTCAATCCATTCGGATGCTTGAATATTTCCCTTTACATGTACACTACATCATAAAACACACAACGAGCATAAAACCGCCAGAATAAAGCATTCCACGCCAGGAAGCCTTCTAATGCATCATCTACATATCTACAAATAATTATACATATGAACCGACCAACCCACACCTTTCTTCATATTTTTTCCATCTTCACTCCGACCATACCAGATGAACTTTTGATTTTTGCTTTCCGACCGTCTTGCAGTATGTCAGGGACAAGATCAGACCAGAGACCAACCAACTCCAACGTCCGCCGCAACCGAAACATAGTCCGCCGCGGAATCCAGTCTCTCACCTGTCACTCAGTGGTCTCCGAAGAAGGTCCACCGCCATTCCGCGCACGAGCACCACCACCACCATGACTGGCGCTACCCACGCCGACCTCCTCAACCGAGCTCTGCACCGCCCCTTTACTATCGATGAAATGCGAGATGCGATCGATCGGCAACCACGCGCTTTCCGGGGTGACCCAGTAGGAGATCAGGGCGAAGATGGTCACGCCGGCCATGATGATGGGGGCGTCTTGAGTTTGCGCATTAGTTTTCCGGACCGTGAAGAAGGTGGTGATTTGAAGATCAAATGGGGGGAGGGGAGGAGACAGGACGTACAGTTCAGATTCGCCCCGGTGACGGGGAACTCGTAGGGCGA